TTTTTTTTTTTTTTTTTTTTTTGGTACCAGGGTTTAATGTGGGACCTTGCACTAGTGAGGCAGGCAGTGGCAGCCTGAAGCTAAATCCCTGGCCCCCCGTATCACTAATTTTAAAAGGTGGATTAGCACTGGTAAGAGGTAAGAAGGAACTGTTCCAAGTATTGCGTTCCAAAGCCATACAGAATACAATCTAGTGTTTAAGGACAAGACAACGCTGACAATTTGGAAGTGAGAAGACATCAGGGCCAAGAAAAAAAAGTATTAACTGTGTAATATTTTGATGTTCCATCATGTTATTTCATCAAAGAGATGAAGTCAGCTGGTTGGATCTAAAAGTCAGACTTGTTTAAACTGCATGTGCTGTGAAAATCTGCTGTAACTAAATAAAATCAGCAGATCTGCTAGACCTGAACAGTAACTATGAGTATAAAATAATGTTTTCTACTATCAATATCTTATGTATCAGTTCAATAGCAATCTAATTCAGCACAAAGATGGAAAGTTATCTGTATAACTGTTTCTCTGACAAGAGAGTGATAATCTGTTGTGATTTCTAAAATCATCTACCCATTGAAAATGTTTGTTATTAATCAGTGGCACAACAGTTTTCCTTCAATTTCATTAATGTATCTTTAAATAAGTCATTACTGTCATTACCTTTTCACTACCATAACAAAGCAGAGTAAGAGGCAGAGGTCAATATTGACGATCATCATAAATGCAATCATAATTCTGAAAAATATTCACTGCATACCTTTTTATCACATTTTTCACAATGATATGCATTTTCACCTTCAAGTAAATCTCCTTTGATATACTGTTCCAAAGAATCAACAAGATTTTGGTGATTTCTAATTTCTACATTTAAAGTAGTAAAAGATTCTTCACACTCATACCTAAAGGCATTAAGAAATGATGGAAAGGATCCTTAAATTTCTAAATGTTACCTTTAGCTGTAACTTGATGAAAAATATATTAGCAATATTTATTATGTCCTATCAAATTCATTAAGTCATACAATGTTATTCAGTAATAGTTATCTTTAGCAATCATTTACTTTTGTACTGGGCCTTATACTAGATTCTTTATATGCATTCAAGAAGCATTTCCGCCTATCTCTATCTTTAAGATACAGAAAAAGAAAGTAGGGCAGGGGAATGCAGCAGGCAGAATGATTTGGTTCTTCTTGGAAGATTGATGCTTGAAAAGTCATGTGGTACACTGTCTTCCTAACTTATCTGTTTAAACAGTAATTAATACCAAAGTAAAGGTTAAATTCAGAAAATGACTTGGAATATTTTAAGATATTAAAAAAGTGCATTTGAAGAATGTGTTTCAATTTCTGCCTCAGAGGCTTTACATACACAACCACTTCAGACATAAGCTTGCTTATTAGAACCCTATAGTGTTCTCTTCTATATATTTATAAAATAACTGCAGACCAAAAATTCTTAAGAGAATGAAAAGGCATTCCATACTGTGGGCAACTGTTATTAAAAAAAACAAAAATCAAATCTTATAAAAGACAACTTAAAAATTCACAAACACAAAGCTGGGTGTGGTGGTGCACGTCTGTAATCTCAGCACTTGGGAGGCTGAGGCAGGAGGATTGCTGTGAGTTTGAGAAAAGCCTGAGCTACATGTGAGTTCCAGATCAGTCTCAACTACATAGTGAGACCCTATCGCAAAAAAAAAAAAAAAACAACAAAAAAAACAAAAAACAAACAAACAAACAAAAAACAACAACCCCACACTCACAAATCATACATGTGTATCTCAGAGATACTCCAGGAAATACACATACACATAAAAATGATATAAACACACATATATCTATACATCTGATAAGACACTCTAGAAAAATAAAATACTCTTAAAACCTCAATACCCTGTGATATAAAAAAGACTCAGGACTCAGACATTATCCTGTTAAGTTCCTGCAAGCTGAGTTAATATGTATAGTTCATATGAACTCCCAGCCTACACACCCCTCAGTAGTGGGGATTGAACTGAGGACCTTATTCATGCTGGAACACACTTTACCAAAGAGCCACCTCCAGCAGTAAATTACCCATCCTGGGCTTGAATTGTTGTAATCCTCCTGCCTTAAGTCTCCCGGAATTCTAGAATTACAGTTTTGGGCCACTAGGCCTAGCCAATTGTTAGTAAAAGTCAATTATTTACTTTGAGAAATATTTCATCAGATTTGCCAGTCACCTTTTAAGCTTACATTATACTACTATAGTAATTACTTTAATTAGAACAAAACATCCTTTAGCAGTAACTGCAGACTTCTAGAAAATGCCATTTTATTTCTGAGACAGGGTCTTGTTATGTAGTTTATTCTGCCCTTAACTCACTATCAAGTAGTGATCCCCTTCCTCAACCTTCTGAGTGCTGGGTTTACAGGTATATACCACCATGCCTGATAGGAAAATGTCATTTTATGTTTTAGGGTATGACAAAGCAAGTGGAAAGATCCATATATTACTAGGGGGAAAGAATCCCAACAGGATATTGTTACATATTAATGCAAATTCAGTCTCAGGCATTTAAAATCAGATACTCTGCTTGCTATAAATACAAGTAAAAATCTTATTTGTGTTCATGAAGAAGACCAACAGAGAGTATACCTTAAAAAAAAATACTTAAGAGCTTACCTATGTGGGCAGCCTTGGCAAATCTTCTGATCTGCAAAGGAACCTCCTAGGACTTTACTTATCATTGGTGGATGTCCTAAAGCTTTTAAAGCCTCATCTAAACTGTTCACCAAAGAATTGAAAAACTCTAAGGCATCATGTTGCTCACGGAGATTTACAGGTTCACCCCAAAGCCTGTAACAAGTAATATGAAACAACTGCACATAGCTTAAAAAACAGAATAAAACATATGACATCCTCGAAATATTCAATTCCTATCACAAAAACAAGAGGCATCTGAGCTGAAAATGTTTATCCAAGAAGATGAAATAAACTAATGAATCTTATGTATGCAGAATGGCAATGAAAGCGAAGCTAGTAAACAATGGTAACGTAGAGCCAAGCAATTACAAATGATTACGATATTGTGACTAAGATGAATAGAATGGTGCTTTATGAAATATATTGATGCATTTCAATTCAAATATTTTTCACATGACAAACTCATTCTAACATGGACTCTATAATTACTTTCATGTTTAATTTTGTTTAAATTTTAAGCGAGATAGCAAAGATTGTATCACTTTATTACTGACCAAAGTGGATTTTTTCCAAGTGAATAGTTTACCCTTTAAAAACTAAAGTATATGTTTTCAGTAGTATAAATTGATTTAAAATTTAGATGAATCGATCCTGAGAACTAAGTATCAACTGTGTATATGAAATAAGAATTAACATTGATGCAAGAGATTTTAGTGAAAACTTCAAGAATATCAAAACTTTTACAGAGTACACATCACAGTGTATCAGTTCCTTGTGAATAACGATATGAAGCATTTTCACCCTATTAGTTGGCTGCATTAATATCCCTTGCTCATTTCTGAACTGGGTTGTGCTCTTATATTAGCTCTGTATAAATTTTATTCCTTTGGTATTGGGGATCACTTAGGTCCTTGAGCTTACCTGGCAGACGATGGAACCACTGAGCTAAATCCCCAGCCTGGTTCTGCATAAATTTTAGATCATAGTTCAGGGCTAGATTTCGAACTCAGGACCTTGTGCTTGTGAAGCAGGCTGAGGAATCACTGAGCTAAATCCCCCAAGGGCCAGATATTTTAAAGGATAGTTTCTACAAATGAGTTGCCTTTCATTTTCTTGTTCTATGGTTTTCTTTTCTTTCTTTCTTTTTTTTTTTTATGATGTACAAACTTTAAAAAAATTTCCATAAAGTTTAACCTGTTTTTTGTCGTCTATAGTGTCATATCCAAGAAATCATTAGTAAGTCCAATGTCAGGAAGATTTTTTTCAGTTTTTGTATTTAGGTCTTTGGTTTTTATTTCTCTTTATTACTAAAGTTCCAACTCCTCCCTTCTATAGCATTTCAAGTTTTCTTAGCATCATTTGTTGAAAATAGTCTCTTCCCCCTAAATGATTTTGGTATCTCTATCAAATATCATTTGTACCAAGTTGTGAATTTACTCCTGAGGCCTTTATTCTATCCTACTGGCCCATACTTCTGCTGTATGCCAGTCTTACACGGTTCTTAAGATTTATACTAAGTTTTGGAATCAAGACCTTATCTTCCCTGCCCAAATAGCTATACGTTGAGATCCCTTGATATTCCATGTACATTACAATATGGTTTTTGAGTAACTACCAAAAAAATTGAGTTTTGCCACAAATGGCACCAAAACCATAGAATGTGTTGTTAGTACTGCCATCTAAATAGTAGTAATATGTACTTATGATACATTGTTTTTTCACGTTACCTCTTTTACCTCCTTGGCTAGCTTAGTATCTTTAATGTTTTATACCATTATATGACATTGTCTTCATAATTTCCTGTTACTGAGGGTTATGTGTATGCACGAGTCACCTATGCTCATATGGTATTGGTGAGTGTGTGTCTTGGTACTGGGGATCAAACTCAGAACTTTACATTTTTGAGGCAGGCAGCAGCACCACAGATAAATTCCCAGCCCCTCATCTTTTGTTTCTTAAAATAAGCAAAGGGAACTGAACTGTCAATTTTTCTGCATTAACTGGCAATGTCATGTATTCTTCTCATTCTACTAATGTAGTGTACTATATTGAACAATTTTCTCAAGATAAACCATCCCTGCATTTCTGGGACAAATTCTGCTTGATTATGGCATATATTTATTTTAAAATACTATTAAAAATGGCTTTCTAGCATTGTGTGGAAGACTTTTGTTCAAAGGGTATTACTCTTTCAGTTTGTTTTATAGTGTGTCTTTTTTATTTATTGGTTTCCATTTTAATTTAGATGAAATACCACAGCTTTCTTCTTTTATTACTGCACTGTAGGTAATTCATAATATAGATGTACCATAGTTTATTTATCCATTAGCCACCAGATGGACAAAGATTGCTCTGTCTTGGTAACCACTATACTTATAAAACTGTTACACATATACACAGAATTTTAAGAAAAAGTGAGTTTTAGATTTAATGACTTTTTTGGGAAGGACATTGGGGGTCAAATTCAGGATCTTGAGCTTGTGAGGCAGGTTTGGTATCACCAAGATAAATCCCCAGCCCTTATTTAAAAAAAAAAAAATTGCTATGTAGTCCAGGCTCTGAACTCACTGCGAAGCTCAGGCTAACTGTGAACTTGGGGCAATTCTCCTGCCCTAACCTCCCAAATGCTGGGACTACACGTGTGTATACTAGCATGCCATGCTAGTTATTTTTTATTTTTTTGACACAGGGTCTAGGTAGTTGAGACTGCCCTCGAACTCACTATGTAGCACAGGCTAGTCTCAAACTCACAGCGATCCTCCTGCCTCAGCCTCCAGAGTGCTAGGATTACAGGTGTGTGCCACCACACCCGGCAATGCTTGTTATTTTTGGCTGAGTGTCTCTCTTACTTAAATGAAAAATTTTAGGTTGGGAATTTAATATTCACCTGGAGAAAATTCTTATGTATTATACATGCAGATTGTTTTTCCCAAATACTTTCTTAACAGTCTTTGGCAGTTTTCATTTCTTATAAAAAAAGCAATATTCTTCTGTCCAAGATACTTACTGCTGAATGATTTTTCTTCTTTTTGAGACAGGGCCTCACTATGTAGTTGAGACTGACCTGGAACTATGTAGCCCAGGCTGGTCTCGAACTCAGTGATCTTCCTGACTGAGCCTCCTAAGTGCTGGGATTACAGGTGTGTGCTATCACACCTGGCAGAATAATATTCTTGAGAGATTTTTTTACTTTGTTCTTGCATGCATGCATGCATGCATACATTCATTCCAAGACCTTATACTTGCGAGGAAGGCACAGCACCAATGAACGAAACCACCAACCCTCTTGCATTTATTCTGCCTTACCTGTGGGTCTTTTATCTATTTTGCATTAACTTCTGTGTAAGTTAAAAGCTGATGGGATTTTGAGGGATGTTTGCCAACTTAGTTCATTTATGAATTTTACTCTGAATTATTTTTGTACCTGTCAAAAATCAGGCAGGCATTAATAATCCAGGTTAAATTCTGAGTTTCTCAGATTCTTATAATCACTGTGCCTAATTTTTCAATAGTGCCATTATGTCATCATTATTTTGGGTTTATTATTAGTACTATTAGTATTACCAGGGATTGAATTTAGGTCCTTGTGCTCACTAGGCAGGTGATGGACGGTACCACTGAGCTAAATAAATCCCTGGCCCTATTTTGGGTTATTTTTATTTTATTTTATTTGGAGACAGGGCCTCACTATGTACTTGAGACTGACCTGGTACTCACTATGTAGCCCAGGCTGGTCTCAAACTCACTGCGATCCTCCTGCCTCAGACTCCAGAGTGCTAGGATTACAGGCGTGCGCCACCACACCCGGCTTGATTTGGGGTTATTTTTGACATGAGGTCTTGCAATGTTGTTCAAGCTGATCTTGAACTATGTAGCCCAGGTTGCCCTCAAACTTGTGGGCCTCCTGTCTTGGCCTTCCTTTAAGTACTGGGATTACAGAAGTGCTCAACATGCCTGTCATGCCTTGCTTATTGGAAAAGGAGTCTTGACACTAGGCAGGGATCCTCCAGCTCTGAACTTTTTCTGTTCCAAACTGTTTTTTGTTTCTTTCCCCTTTCATATTAAAAATGAGAACATGATGAAGGTACAAATCATTCTGGGGAGACGTAATGAAATAACAACATTCTCCTGTCACTGGATATAGATACATCTCCATTTAATTTTATCTTCTTTTGAAGCTACCCTTCAGTGTTTTGATGTGCAGAGCAATAAAGTGTTGCAAATATTTTTACATTCTGATGCTTTTCCTTTTTATTGAGTTTGTTGGTACATTCTAGGTATACAATACAGTTACATTCATTACTGGGACCTTGTACTTTTACATGTCAGGTCTTGGTTCTCATTTCTTCCCCTTAGATTTTGGTAAATAGTTTTCATACACAACAGCAGATATTTATAACTACTCTCCCCAAACCATTGCTATCATCAAGAAAATGAACAATCTAATATCTTCAAAAAAGTGCTTTGAAGTTCTCTACCCTGACCCTTCAATTTTCTCAAATCAAGTATTAATTTTTATGTCTCTGTCAGTATACTTTTTTTGTACCAGGGATGGTACTCAGGATCTCGGGCTAGGAAGGCAGGTGGCAGAATCACTGAGCTAAATCTTCAGCCCTGTCAGTATACGCTTCTTGAGTATTAGTTGGGTGTAATGTTACACAGGATGGGACAAGCCTGTAATCCTAGTACTCTGGGAGTCTTAGACAGAATCACAAATTTGAGCCCAGTGTGAGCAACTCAACAACTTGCTGAGATCCTACCTCAGGATGGAGGAAGCTTAGTATTAAACACACAAAATCCTCTTCCCACAGAATATATCTATTGTTTTTTGTTTCTTCTTTTCTCCCTAAAGTGAATCTGCATTTATTCTGTTAGTTGCAGATATTTTGTGCGACATTTTTTCTTTGGTACCAGGGACTGAACTCAGGATCTTGTGCTTGGAGGCAGATGGCAGAACCATTTAAGTGCCAGGCCCCATGTGAGTGACTTTTTAATTTTTTATTAGGTTTCCTAGCAAGTTTGCTAAGAATATCAGAAATGTTGTTTTGTATCAGATGTTGTCTTCCGTACCTACTGAAGTAATACCGGTAATCCTTTTAGTGTGATTTGAATATTTTGATTTAACTAAGCCTTTCCAAACAACCCTTTTTTCA